ATGGATGTTTTGGCAGGCCTTCCCATCAGATAATTCCTGATGCCCTTTTCTTTCCCTCTCCTATTGTTTCTCCCATCTTGTTTAATGCTTCTGCTATGTAAAAATTGTTTTATATATATTTATTGTACTATTTTATGTTGTTAGCCGCCTAGAGTAGTCCTAATCTGACCAGATAGGCGGGATATAAATAAAATAAATAAAATAATAATAATAATTTGTTGTCATTTAATTTTTACTGCTAGGAATGGGTAGAATGTTCAGGGCCTTTTCAGCTTTACATGCCCAGCAATGGCTTTAGGTACTATGCAGCTTGGCTTGGGGTGGAAAGGGAATACCATTTATACTCTGCCTCAGCCTGCAAAATATCTTGGGCTGAGCCTGATCTTGATAAAAGGTGTCTCTAGTCTGGTAGTTCCTAATATGATCCAATTATTGCTTTTCTGCTGTTATCATATACTCGGCTGCAATGACTATTCCACACCATTAAATATTTTGACTTTCTTTTGGAATTTTCATGAGTGTGGACTAAAAGCGATGGTATGTATCTGATGAGGTTCTGGTAGGGCACCACCAGATGACACATGATCGGCTGCTCATCAGAGCATGGACACAGCTTCCACAAATGCAGCTCTATGGAGGTACAGTGGTGCCTTGCTAGACAGTTCCCCCGCATGACAATTTTTTTCACTAGACATTGGCTTTTTGCGATCGCTATAGCGATTCGCAAAACAGTGATCCCTATGGGGGAATTTCGCTGGACAATGTTTGGTCCCTGCTTCGCAAACCGATTTTCGCTAGACGACGATTTTGACAGCTCTCTCCGCACTCGCAAAACGGGTGTTTTCGGGATCTAAGCTTCGCAAGACAGCGATTTAAACAGCTGGTCGGCGATTCGCAAAGCAGCTTTCCTATGGCCAATCTTTGCTAGACAACAATGATTCTTCCCCATTGGAATGCATTAAACAGGTTTCAATGCATTCCAATGGGGAAATGCTTTTCGCTAGACAATGATTTTGCTAAACAGCTATTTCAGTGGAAGGGATTATCATTGTCTAGCGAGGCACCACTGTAAATTCCAAAGAGGTACGGGCCATAATGTGTGAACACCCTCCAGTCTTCCTTCCATATCGGTGGCTGGAATGTTGTCATTTAAGATAATCTGTCTGGACAGGGAACACCAGAAGTATAGTATTATTGAATGGGGAGCAGGTGTGGATCTGGTTAGTAATATGAAAAACGACAGGAGTTCCATGTGAGGACCAGATATACACATAGGAAATGACATTAAAAAAAACCTAATATATTTGAGCTCAGTGGGTAGCTCAGTGGTTTTGGTATTTGAGTGCGAAGCCACATGTTGGGAGTTCAATTCCCCACTGTGCCGTCTAGGGGAAAAGCCAGCCTGTCTCGCTCCAGGCAAACTGCACAGTCTCTGCAGGGAGGCTTTTGCATGTGGCCCTCAAGGTAAACCACTTCTGAGTATTATCGACTTAGAAAACACTGGAAAGAGTTGCCACAAGTCAGAACTAACTTAACGGCATGCAGTTATTCATATATTTGAGTGTTTTGATAGTAACCGAAAACAGGAACCCAAGTATTATACATTTTTTTAAAAAAAATTGCGAAGGAACTGCAAGCCAGGAATTGAAACCTCAAACAGCTGGCGTCTCACTTTAAATCGGTAAGTAACAGCTGTGCAGCTGAAACAGAAACTTCTCCATTGCTTCTTCCCATTTTTGGTTGGTCTCCTTTTTACAACAGGGGTGGGCACAAAGCAGATCTGACTCCACCGCGAAATTTCTGGACGATTGCAACAGTTCTAGTTGGTCCTTCCAATTATCTGACATTTTCAGCAATAAAACCCTTTCTCTCCCAACCTAAATTACTCTGCTCACTAAATAAAGAATGAGGTAATTAGGAGCTAGGGTGACACCCTCACATCACAAGCCATCTATGCTAAGAGGAATTTTTTATGTGTTCCATTCAGATTTGGTGCAAATAGCGAGACAGAGAGAGAGACTCAGAATTATTTTATTCTGAGCCTATGCTATTGAACTCTAGAGCTCTAACACAATATTCTTTTACTTTTCAGAATTACGTCCTATCTTTCTCTCAAAATAAGCTTCAAGGTGGCTTGTGGCAATGTTAAACAAAAGAGTGGATTTTAAGCTGGAACCAAAGTAAGTGACTAAAATGGAAATAAACAAAAAGGACAAATTAAAGCTAGTTAAGAACACAGTTGTAAAAATGAGCACTAGGTAAAATAGCCCCAAATGATAACAAGCTCCATCTTCAGTAGCCAGTCAATTTCCAAAATACATACAGTAGAACCCCTTGCTTCCATATCAGCAGGATCAGTATCTACAGTTTCACTTACGGTATCTGTGGTTTGCATTATTTATTTATTTAAACTATTTCAACTCCAGCTTTCTCCTTAAAAGGACCAAAGTCAGCATCTCAATATGCAAAATACCAGGGTGCCCCCTTGTTGCCTTTGTCCCACCCCTTGTATATTGCATATAGGGTTCCCTTATGTCCACGGATCCATCCATCCATCCATCCATCCATCCGTCCATCCACATATATTCTTTACTTTCATTGGAAAATAAGAGGGAAGGGGCTAGCTGAGCTTCTCATGGCAGAGGCTGCCAGAGTTTATAAGCAGCCACTAAGAAATCTACAAAGTACCACCTGAAAATCTTGGGTTCACTCACCCACCCCCATTTATAAAGGTAGCAGTAGCAAACTTTGCAAAGGAGTTAATGTGGGCTCTTACCTTTAAGCGACTGGGCAGTTCCTGCAAGAAAAACAAATGGGAGACTTGAGTCCATTCCTGAGTTGAAACATTTTGATTTGTTTTATGAAATTATATTTTTTTCTTCCACTGTTGGAGAAAAAACAAGGAATCTTATAGCACTTTAAAGACCTGTAAGTTGTATTTGAACAATTCAAGCCTTTAAAGTTTGTAGCTCCGTTAAAAAAAGTAGCAACGTCTGTGCTAAGGATGTTCTGTGCTGGGGGAGAAAAACAATTTATATATTTGTCTTTGCAAATGTAAGGACTAGATACTGGTTGTATTTTTTTAAACACTCTCCCCACTTGGCTGGATACATCCAGGTTTCATAAATTTTGTATTCAAAGGTTGCAATCCCATAAATTATGCCATGTAAATCTCAGGATGTCATCAGTCTTGGAATTTTTTTTCCAGAAATAAAGGAATTTGGATCCTTCACAAACACACACCCCATCCCCAACCCCGAAATGTCCCAAGGCTCCCATGGTGTCCCATCACTTGATGGGCTGCAGAATGGGGGAAATATTTAATTTCCAAAAATTGACATGGCTGGGATGAACTTACTGGCTGTGATGATTTTGGGAAATAAATGACTCCCCACCACCACTATTTGAAGATTCCCAATGGCTTATCCAGCAATGAGATGGACTCCCCAGGACCTTTGAGACCCTTGGCGGATGGGGAGATTTTTTTTAATTTTCCAAATATTTGCTGTGGCTAATGATGTCAGCTTAATGTGGTGTTGCTGCATGAATTAAATTTCGGCCACAAGATGCATTTGTAGAATTACCAAACAGATTGTGTACATATCCTGCCTCCAACCTGCTAATCTTTGAAGTAGATGATATCAAAAAGAAACACTTGTAAACTTGGCTACGATGCTGAAATTAATCTCTTCCTGTTTTGTGGTAAGAGCTGGAAAGCAGTGATGATGCTCACATGCAGATACTAGACTGAAAACTGATGCAGGAGATGCAATGGCAGCAGAAAACATCTTCCAGTCAATTGCTGCTTTCCAGTTCATAATGTGGAAACTGGGGTCTGTAATTTTCAACTGGAATCTCTCCTTTGATTTCACTCAGTGAAGCTGCTGCTGTAGTTCCAGTTTGGAAAAAGACATGCATGAGGTTAGGAAGAGTCTCTCCTTTGCACATGGCTCTTCTGTGACTTGCTGTAGTTTCATTGAGTTAACAAGAAAAAGACCCCACAAAGAATGGCACGTCTCTCCATTGCACATGGATCTTCTGCGACTTGCAGAAGTGAACAAGAAAAAGACCCCACAAAGAATGGCAAAGCTACATGTTACACATTATTCCCTAGAATTCTTGGCTTCATGTTCCTTGGATTACAACTGCCATCAGTGGCCTGATTGATCAGCACGAAGCACTCAGCATTGATATTGGATGGGCCAATATATCAGCCTTAAAGGTAAAGTTTCCCCTTGACATTTTTAGTCCAGTTGTGTCCGACTCTAGGGGGCAGTGCTCATCCCTTTTTGCAAGCCGTAGAGCCAGCGCTTGTCCGAAGACAGTTTCCGTTGTCATGTGGCCAGCGTGACTAGGGAACGCCGTTTTACCTTCACACGGAGGTGGTACCTATTTATCTATTTGCATTTACATGCTTTCGAAGCAAAGGACAAAACATAGCGGCAAATCAGCAGATTTGTTTCAGAGTGTGCATTCACAAATCTGCATTTTGGGGCCCAAAAATACCAATATAGTTGAACTGTAACCATGAAAATCCACACTGAAGCAAACCTGTTAGCTTTGAAGATTTCACACCATTGTGTCTTTTGCTTTCTCCTTCTTGCTCTCTCTCTTTAACTTAGTTTTGTCAACTTATTTTTGGCCGAGTTCATGAAAAAAAATCTATTTTGGAATGTTCTCCTGGAACTAAAATGAACGCCCATAGCTACTTACCAAATACTGTACCAAGTTATACGTTTTGCTATTGAGTTACGGACTGATTGGGGGATAAATTTAGATCAGAGAAAGGGTAGAGAACATAAGAATTGAACCACCTTCCTGAGCAGCAAGAGCCCTCCGGTCAGTCAAAAAACCAGGCACATGGCACTCTAGGAGAATTGCTGGCAAGTGAGGAAAGTCGGGAGATATAATCACAGATCTTGAGTGACACCGTTTGTTTCAGCCAGAAATAACTTCCAGGGTAGAGCTTGAGAAGAAGGATTATTTCCCCGATCTGTGCCTGAACTTGTGAGAGCCCTGACAGTTAAAAATGGAACCATTATCTAGAGCAGAACATGACTCTGATGATCAGATTTCTGGGGACAAACCACAGAGGGACAATTGGCGCCCTGTCGTGTCGTTGCTGTTGAGTCGGTGTGGCGTAGTGGTTGAAGCAAAGATGGGGGACCTGCTTCAGCACTGGGACTGAATAAAATTTCTGAGAATTTCTCTTGGGGGGTGGACAGTGCGGAAGATGAAAGCGGGACTCAAAGCAAGCAGTACAATTCAGCTTAAAGCTCTTACGGATGCTCACTAAAGTTGAATGGGGAACTAACCATTGACAAGTTTTCCTCCTCTACAGTCATATTCTTACTGATCTTCTGTTAGGCTGTGACTAGACGATCAAATACCAGGAGATTTGCTCCACATAAAATGGGTGAACTCGAAGGATTTTTTTAATGAGCCACATGACACAAAGGTTGATGCAAATCGGTGTGTGTGTGTGTGTATATGTGTGTGTGTGCTTCTACTTTTTCAAGCCAGAATGATTCAAACAGGCTTTTCCATTGTGGTTCTGACAGGTGTGGTACATTCTTGTGAAGATGGGGGGCATGTCTGTAGGTGGTGTTTCAGTGATGTAAGCAGTTGGGATGTGATGTTCAGGACTGGGGGAGCATGCCCTCAGATTCTTCTCTCTACCCCAATTGTCCTTTGAATTGTTCTTTAAAAAAAAAAGTCTAACATATAATAGTAAATCATACTGGGTCATCATTATTTTTTCTTCCTCTATGTATGCTCCCATAGAGATCAGCAAAGGTGGTGGCAAAGGAAGGAAGGGTTGGCAGAAGCAAGACCGAAGGAAGCAAGCAAGCAAGCAAGCTAGCTAGCTAGCTAGCTAGCTGTGGGTTGGAATGTGAATCACATCCAGTGTGAACGGTGAGCCCCCAAATCCATTTGCAGCCCCTGTGTGAGCCCTGACCACAATTTCCAATGAATCAAATTGCTACAAAGCCCGATTGCTCTGATTCCAATGCAGTCAGACTCTTAGTTAAAGAGAGGCATGTCAGTCTTTTAAAATGGAAGAAAAACTCACAAATGCAGGGAATTAATAGTATATGGCAAGGGAGGCATGCCGCTCTAGTCTAGGACACTCCAAAGGGCTGCATTAGGATGTCAGAGGGCGAGATGTGACCTCAAGATTAGAGGATTGAGAAAGCTTTGAGGAAATTGAAGTTCTAGCCCTAAGTGAGCAAAGCAGCGAGTGGGGGAATGTACTTTAGGGTTCAGTCTCAAGCTCTTTTGGTGATGGGGCTCAGCGTCTTGAAGAACAAAAGTTCAAACTAAAACTTGGACTGGACACACTGGTCTACTGACATTGAATCCACTCCTGGAACCATGAAATTCACTGCGTGTACTTGGGCCGCTCACTCTCTCTATGAGGAGTGGCTCCATGAATGTCAACATTCTAACTCTAAGGAGAGAAGTCTGGCTATAAATGCAAAACCATGAAATTCACTGTGTGAACTTCGGCCACTCACTCTCTTTCAGCCTGGCCTACTGTACAGGCTTGTCATGTGGATAAAATGAGGAGCGGCTCCATGAATGTCAACATGACATTCTAAGGAGAGAAGTCTGGCTATAAATGCAATAAGGGCATAATGTTCTGCTGGATTGTCATAGACTGAGTTGGCTGGCCACTGTTGAGGACCAGAGGAGATGCTATGGAGGAAAGAAGAAATGGCAGCGATGTAATCATTTGACATGTGCTCCCTTGCCTTTCCTCACCCTTGGAGGAGAGAGTCGTTCTGTGCCCCCCTAAAATATCCTGTTTTCTTCAGAGAGGCTGGACAACAACTGAGGCATGGCGGATGTTCTACCAGAAGTCAATTCGGGTTGTTTCCATATGGAAATGTGAAGATGTGCCATCTTGTACTGTGCCTCAAAAAGTCTTCTGCTGGCATTGCCTGGCATTAGTTTTGCTTTCATATTTTTACCAAAGAAAGGGAAATGGAGTTTCTGTTCCTGTGTCACAAGAAGGATGAAGATATTAGAGATCTCAGGGTATGCCCTGCTTATTATTCCCACGTCATCAATTAAACATTCACTGAGATATTAGGATCAAAACCTGAGACCGGGAGAGGCGGCTTCTCATGTTGCAGGAAGGTGATTTAGCAAAGGCGCAATGTGTGCACATGGGTGTATAACAACACAGATGCTCTGCATTATATCCGAAGCAAATATTATTTGAGCCCTTGTTGCTTTTTCTATTTTCTGTCTCTTCACCTGGACATGACTCTCCCCATCATGGGAATAAATATAGGGGATGGAGATTTGTATCCTTTGTATCCAAAGAAGTTGATGTAAATCTACAAAATGTCATCAATCAATCAATCAATCAATAAATAAGTTTGTTTGTTTGTTTGTTTGTTTAACTTATATGCTGCCCACTCTACCCAAAGGTCTCTGGGCGGCTTACAACAATTAAAATTCAATTAAAATACAACAAAAGATTAAATGACTTAAATACAATTAAAATGGCCATCAGGACCCACAGCTGATGTTATTTCAATTAAAAGCCTTCTGGAACAGGAAGGTTTTGACCTGGTGCCGAAATGTCATCAATGTCGGCGCCAGACGAATTTCAGTTGGGAGGGCATTCCATAGTCTGGGGGCAGCTGCCAAAAAGGCCCTTTGTCTACAAGCCCTCCCTCTTATCTCCTTAAGGGACGGCTCTTTCAAAAGGGCCTCCTGGTTAGATCTTAACTGCCGGGTTGATTCATATGGAAGGAGACAGTTCTTCAGGTGTCCGGAGTCCAA